AGCTAATATATATATATATATATATATATATATATATATATATATATATATATATATATATATATATGTATGTATGTATTAAAATAGAAAACAGTTATGTTCAATCATAGTAATAATTTACAGTATTACTGTTTTTACTGTATTTTTGATCAAATAAATGCAGTCTTGTTGTGCATACTTTTTTCAAAAGCACTGAAAATTATTAGAGATCCCAAACATTTGAATAAAATTGTACTAGCGTGTATATGTAGAATGATGGGCATGAATTCAGAGGAAATCTCTGGAGCTTTCTGTGAAAATGTATGTTTAGATTCCAAGTAGATGTAGTTGTGCATATGCCATAGCTCACAATAGATTGGCAAGGCGTTTGTTTAATGCAGTTTTCAGAAAGAGACTCATTTTAGTTTTTTGCTCATTTTCAATATGCTCGACTTGTGATTTGCTGTATCATCCGTTGTTTGTGCTGTGAATGCACAAGCAGATCCCTGCAGCTTGTGTGATAAGTGTATATGAAGCTTTGTCTTGATGTCTCAGGTAGGACAGAGCAAAGGTTCATTAAGTCAAGCTACTACACAATATTTATTGCTCAAAGGCTAAATGGCTGCAAGAACTCACAAAACCCAGCTGAAAACAACACATATTGACTGATTCTGTCTCATCTAACTGGCTGGGCTTTTCCCACCTCTTTTTTTTCTTTTGTATTAGAAACACTTTTTTTTCTTGTAAACATTGTGCATGAACCGAATATTGATCACTCTGTGTTCTCTCATCAACTGGCTATCGAGCGGTGTTCCAGTGTGTCTGCAGTTAGTCTTCGAGGTAGTCTCTCTCTCTTGCTCTTTCTCTCTCTTTTTTTTTTTGTATGTTTTGTTTTGTTTTTTTGTTCCAGTCACTTTTTTGCTTTGCTTCAGGCTTTGTGTCCTAGTAGCTCGGCTTCCATCTGTTATAATTAAGTGTTTACCTGGAAAACAAGAGGTCAAGAGTAGCCTTAAATGATGGCTGTGCACGGTCTTATTTCATGTTTATGATTGCAGTTATGACCCCTCAGGCATATGTCGTACACTTTTTTCGACTTGTCACATTCATCTGTAGCGTAAGAGTGTTTTTGCCTGTTTTTTGATCAAGTTACTCTCAACCCATTTTGTTTTCTAGTTGGAGACAAGGTGCCAGCAGATATCAGGATCACTTCAATCAAATCCACCACCCTAAGAGTGGACCAGTCCATTCTCACAGGTACTGTGGATGTCAGAGATGAACAGCTTAACATTTCACTGCTCGGTTTTCAGTATAACTTGATTTAAAACTACCAATGTGTTTTTTAGGCGAGTCTGTGTCTGTTATCAAACACACTGATCCCGTGCCAGATCCACGAGCTGTCAATCAAGACAAAAAGAACATGCTGTTTTCTGTAAGCACTTCACTTCCTGTTTTAAGAGGGGAACTTTCTCATGTGCATATAAGCAGTAGTTTATTTGCATATAAATATTACTTCATGAATATTTACTGCTTACGTACCTCATAGCATTTTTAGTCTGGTCATGCATTACATAATTATTATTTGCTTTCTTTGTGTCTTTGAGTTTTTCTTGCTTTTTTCTTTGTCTCTCTAGTTTGCAGAATGTCGTTATACTGTAGGATATAATAAGACTTAAGTATTCTGTTCAGTCTAAACATGCACTTCCTGTATGCGTTCATTTGCAGTCATTCAGATGCTCTAAGTAGGCATGCATTTGTCCGCTCTCAATCCACTTAGGTTGCGTTAACATCATCTGGGGACAGGGAACACCCCAGGTGATGTTATTGGCCTAGTGAGTGATAGTATAACATCGAGTTAATGCAGTCTGCCTGTTTTCATCTTAAGTCATTTAAAATAAACTGTATATGGCCTATGTGCTTTTATAGTCCAGCTTTATGCATTTTCCAACACATCGTGGTAATGAAAGATGTAGTTTCCTATTAGGGGAAAATCTCCCTAATGACATTATAGCCAACTCCACACAAGTCAATGATTTTTCCAAGCTACATTTTAGCAAATTATATGGGACTGAGGAACTTCTGATGCTGTTGTTTACAAGTCTGTAAAAGTGTAAATTTAGATTTGAAAGGTCTTTTAGTGGATTTGTTACATTTAAGTATACAGTGTGTATAGAAAAGAATCTATAACCCCTTTAAAATAATCACATTTGTGTTGCTTTGCAGCCTGAAATAAAGATGGACACAGTTTTTGTTTTATCCAGCTGTATTTATTCAGTGCAACTTATAACATTCAAGTGAAAGATATAAAACCATGTCAGGAAAAATCTTTTTAAAAAAAATATTTTTTTTTATAAAGATTTATTTTTTTTTATTGAAAAATAAAAACTTCCTAAAAATGACTTGTAAACTCAATCCGGTGTAGCTAATCACCTTCTCAATAGTACACAAAGCCATATTACTTTCAATCAGCTCTGTCATTTTGGTTAGCTCAGCATGAAAAGAGCTTTCCTGGAGCATTTCAGTCCTTTGTAGTGCAACTGAAGCAAACAATCAACTATGGATGGCAAAGCTGTCAAAAGTTCTCTGGGATAAAGTTGTGAACTTGCACAAGTCAGGAGATACAAAAAAAAACATTCAAAGGATTTATCAATGCCTAGAAGCACAGTGAAGTCTATTATTAGGCCACCAATAGGCCTACAGCAACTCTGAAGCAGTTGCAGTAATTTATGACAGAGTGGTCATTGTGTGCATGTGACAACAATATCACAAATTCTCCACAAAGGTGGCTGGTATGGGAGGGTTGCAAGAACAAATGCCACTCCTCAAGAAAGGCCACATGCAGTCACGACTGAGCTTTGCCAAAACACACCTTGGAGATTCTGAGACTAAATGCAGACTCTCATCATTTAGCTGTTGAGACTAAAAGCATGGAGGTGGTAATATCCTGTTATGGGGGTGTTTCTCTGCAGCAGGGACTGAAGCACTTGTCAGGATAGAAGGAAGAATTAATGGGACAAAATACCTTCAAATTCTTAAGGAAAATCTGCTGCCTTCTGCCAGAAGGTTGTCAAAGGGAAGAAGGTTTATGTTCCAACATGACAATGACCCAAAGCACACAGCAAAACTGACCACACAGTGGTTGAAGGAGACAAAGATGAATGTACTTGCATGGCCTAGTCAGAGCCCAGACTTAAACCCTATTGAAAATCTGTGGAATGACTTGAAGACTGCAGTCCACAAACGCTCACCATCAAATTGAACTGAACTTGGGCAGTTCTGCAAAGAAGAGTGGGCAAATATTGCAAAGTCTAGCTGTGCAAAGTTAGTCGAGACAAAGACATATCCCAACAGACTAAACCCTGGTTCAACGAAATACTGTCACAAGGGGGTGATCCTTTTTTCAACTCTGTGATTGTTTTTTAATTTTTTTATGACATGTTTGTGTAACATCTTTCACTTGGATGTTATAAGATGAGTAAATACAGCTGGATAAAACAAAAACTGTGTCCATCTTCATTTCAGGCTTCAAAGCAACAAAATGAGATTGTTTTAAAGGGGGGTGATTCTTTTCTTTTCCCACTGTATGTGCTTATATATGCATCTTCTCATGTTTTCCAAAAGGGCACAAACATTGCTGCGGGTCGGGCAATCGGTGTCATCATCTCCACCGGCGTTTCCACCGAAATCGGTAAGATCCGTAACCAGATGGCGTCAACCGAGCAGGAGAAGACCCCGTTGCAGCAGAAGCTGGATGAGTTTGGCCAACAGCTCTCAAAGGTCATCTCCCTTATCTGCATCGCCGTCTGGGTCATTAACATCAGCCATTTCGCCGACCCGGTCCACGGCGGCTCGTGGATTCGAGGTGCGATCTACTATTTCAAGATAGCCGTGGCCTTGGCAGTTGCAGCCATCCCGGAGGGTCTGCCAGCTGTCATTACCACCTGCCTGGCGTTGGGCACCCGTCGCATGGCCAAGAAAAATGCCATAGCAAAACACACCTTGGAGATTCTGAGACTAAATGCAGACTCTCATCATTTAGCTGTTGAGACTAAAAGCATGGAGGTGGTAATATCCTGTTATGGGGGTGTTTCTCTGCAGCAGGGACTGAAGCACTTGTCAGGATAGAAGGAAGAATTAATGGGACAAAATACCTTCAAATTCTTAAGGAAAATCTGCTGCCTTCTGCCAGAAGGTTGTCAAAGGGAAGAAGGTTTATGTTCCAACATGACAATGACCCAAAGCACACAGCAAAACTGACCACACAGTGGTTGAAGGAGACAAAGATGAATGTACTTGCATGGCCTAGTCAGAGCCCAGACTTAAACCCTATTGAAAATCTGTGGAATGACTTGAAGACTGCAGTCCACAAACGCTCACCATCAAATTGAACTGAACTTGGGCAGTTCTGCAAAGAAGAGTGGGCAAATATTGCAAAGTCTAGCTGTGCAAAGTTAGTCGAGACAAAGACATATCCCAACAGACTAAACCCTGGTTCAACGAAATACTGTCACAAGGGGGTGATCCTTTTTTCAACTCTGTGATTGTTTTTTAATTTTTTTATGACATGTTTGTGTAACATCTTTCACTTGGATGTTATAAGATGAGTAAATACAGCTGGATAAAACAAAAACTGTGTCCATCTTCATTTCAGGCTTCAAAGCAACAAAATGAGATTGTTTTAAAGGGGGGTGATTCTTTTCTTTTCCCACTGTATGTGCTTATATATGCATCTTCTCATGTTTTCCAAAAGGGCACAAACATTGCTGCGGGTCGGGCAATCGGTGTCATCATCTCCACCGGCGTTTCCACCGAAATCGGTAAGATCCGTAACCAGATGGCGTCAACCGAGCAGGAGAAGACCCCGTTGCAGCAGAAGCTGGATGAGTTTGGCCAACAGCTCTCAAAGGTCATCTCCCTTATCTGCATCGCCGTCTGGGTCATTAACATCAGCCATTTCGCCGACCCGGTCCACGGCGGCTCGTGGATTCGAGGTGCGATCTACTATTTCAAGATAGCCGTGGCCTTGGCAGTTGCAGCCATCCCGGAGGGTCTGCCAGCTGTCATTACCACCTGCCTGGCGTTGGGCACCCGTCGCATGGCCAAGAAAAATGCCATAGTCCGTTCTCTGCCCTCAGTGGAGACGCTGGGATGCACCTCCGTTATCTGCTCAGACAAGACAGGGACCCTGACAACCAACCAGATGTCTGTCTGCAGGGTGAGTGATGTGGCTGTTCAAGTCAGAAGCAGAGTTGGTGTCTCATTCAGCATCAGAAATGATGTCTGCGGGCAGATCTTGCTTTTATGTCTGGGTTGATGACAACTTCGTTTTTCATTGATTCTCATTTTTCTGCTGACATACGGTCCTATGTGAGCTTTTTTCCTTATATATATATATACAACCTCTAGAACCTCTTTTTTGTGCATTCACAAGAGGTGATTTACTATGCGCTATAACCAGAGCCAGAACGTATTTCAAACTGTCATGAAGCAAGGCATTGGAGGTCACCCTATAACAGTTGCATTTTATTTTCAAGTTCAAGATAGATTCTCCTGAGGAATGGCCATTTTGGGGGGGGGAGACCCTTGAGGCTAGAGAGCATCATATCAATTTCTTATAGACAACGTCTCGGAATTCTTTCCCACTGATTCCAGACCTGTATGTGTGCCCTGTTACTGTGCTTTCTGGTGCACTGGCTGGTGGGTTTCACAGGCCTGGATACTACAGTGGTGTTACAATCAGAGCAGGTCTTTGATGCTGTGCCAGGGCCTCTCATACAGAGCTGAGTGATGCAGCAGCAGCAGATTTCTCTGGCTGCCATATGGAAGACCACAGAAACATACCAGGCACAACACGAGAGGTGAGAGAGAGAGGGAGTCGGAAGTACTAGACTTGGTCAGATGCTGAATAGCAATCCAGAGCCAGTTCAAAGTCTTTTAAATTAAATAATGTTTAGAGACACGTCTTGATTGATATATGCTTGTCCAGTGTACATTATTTTTTTATACATGTGCCCTTGTAATCCTTACTCAAAAACAACATGATGATGTGTGCACCAGCGTGAGGGTTGGGCAATAATCCATCCCCTCCAGCAACTGGTCACTCACATGTAGGGCTGGGCGATTTTTCCGATTTTATAGATTAATTTGAATTTAATGTTTTGCCACGATTAAATTTTTTATAAATCGAGGAATCACAATTTTGAATAGAAATATTACCAAACGTTAGAATTAGACACTTTGATAATATGCCAATGTTAACAGTAAAGAGAAAAGAATGATCCAACCACATGTCTGCGCACTTGATTAACCGCTCACCTGTGATGCGCTCTGTGAAGGACCATAAGGTGCCATTCACACAGAATGCGCTTTTGTGTTGACAAAGATGCAACGCGGGCAGTGGAATAGGAAAAAATGCAGGAAGATGGGAGTTCTTTTAACTTGAGCGGTACGTTTTTAGAATGCCGTTTCATGCATGAAACACTGCAAGAGATCAACAATCAAACTGTCAACGATGGAAAAGCAGTGTAATCTAATAAAAACCTGTTAAGAACTACTACTGTATGTCTGAAATTTCATGTGTGCATCACGGTGACAGGCTGAAAGCTACTGTTCATTGTTTTTACAGAACATTCATAGTTATAGTCTACTGGTGTTATACCTTTAGTCGTTTTGAATTTGAATTACCTAGATTTTTTTGATTTTTTAAAGCATTTTCCTTATATTATTTCTGAACATATTACATCATGTTGACAACTTCAAGTGTGGTGCACTTGAAATAGAAATTTCTTTAACTAGAGGGTTAATAAAGAAAAATGTACTTGAATCATGTTGTAGTAACATTTTCAAGTTGACTAGTTAAAAATCATAAAAATCAAGAATCGGTTGATCGTTCTGAAAAAAATCAAGGTTTTATTTATTTATTTTTTCTCGTTTTAGAAGCTGTTTTATGTGAAAATACAGGTATGTCACAACAGGGAGGAAAATACTGAAGTGCAAGTGCCATAGACAACCTTATTGATTATAATGGGGGTGTATTATTTTTGTATCATCACTGTTTGCTTTAAGTTGTATATTGTGTGTTCACACTGTTTAGTCTTAGTGAATTACAAAATAATTCCAGGTTACAGACTAATTCACTTTGGCTTTACAGCTGCTTTTTGAGATTTTTATATACAGTATATACAGTAGATACATTTTTTGGCACAGTTGGAGCTACATGGAATGAATGTAATTGACACACTGAATGATTATTTAATTACAGCAATTGTAAATGCAAATCTTGATTATTTAATAGTCCAGTGACATCAAAAGTTTGGGGACTAAGATTATTTTAATATTTTGAACGAAGTCTCTTATGCTCACAAAGGCTGCATTTATTTGATGATAATACAGTCATATTGTAAAATATTATTGCAATTTAAAATAACTGATTTCTACTTGAATATATTTTAACGTAATTATTTCCTGTGATGGCAAAGCTGAATTTTCAGCAGCCATTACTCAAGTCTTCAGTGTCACATGATCCTTCAGAAACCATTCTAATATGCTGATTTGGTGATCAAGAAACATTATTATTATCAACACTGAAAACAGTTGTGGTGCTTAATAATTTTATGGAAACCATCTTTTTTTCAGAATTATTAATTGAACAGAAATTCAGTTTAAAATAACTGCATTTATTTGAGATAACATTATAAATATAACATACATAAATATAAATTACTTTACTGTCAGTTTTGATCAATTTGCTGAATAAAAGTATTAATTTCTAAAAAAAGAAAAAAAAAATCTTACTGGTCCACACTTTTGAAGTGTAGTGTAAGTTTATATTGGTAGGTTGACTATTCAGAATGATGTAAGTACTGCAGCTATTTCAGCGTTGCTCTGTTTGTCTCAGACAGTGGTGAACGTTGAGGGCAGGACTAAATGTTTGTCCAATGGCAGACAGGCAGAGTGTTTGGGAAACTGGTGTGAAAAACAGTAGTTCTTTTTTCAGTTGTATTTGGTGCCACTAATGGTGCAGAAAGTACACACTTCCTTTACTCTTTTTGATCCAAGTCTTGATCTGGTTAACCAGTCCACACCCTTACGAACTACCACTGAACTGTGTACTTGTTTTCTATAGAATTAGTTTCTTTCATTCTTCCCACTGTCATATCTTTATGTTCTGTAAAGAGAGAAAATCAAGTGGCCATGTTTTTGTTGGCATGACTGTACCACCTGTATTCAGATAGGTGTGTATGACGCAAAGTAACCTGACTCATAGCACAGCCAAGAAAGCCATGTAGTTTGAATACTTGTTCTTTTGTGTTTTAAGGTGTCATGTCATCATTTCAGTGCCATCATTTTGGCTTAGAGGCTGTTCTTGATATTACTGAGGTTTTCTACTGTCCTAAAGAAGGAGAGCTACAAGCATTAATCACCACCATTCTGGGTTTTGAGGTGATGGGCGTAGATTCTTTCATTAGTGTCCTTGAAGAGTAATGTAGTGCTGTGGTCTCTTTTATGCTGTTGCTTTCTGAGAGTCAGGACATGTTGACGTCCTCAATGTGGAAGTCCCTCAGAGTCACTCTGGGACACTCAAGGTGTATGTTCGTATTTGTGCGCAATGGAAAATCCTTAACTTGTACAGACAAGTCAGCAGGACATGATTGCAACATATTTTACGTTATATTCTTCTACAGCTGCAGATGTGGATCCATCAAGACCACAGGGTTTTTGTCAAACCCCTCAGCTAGATCCATTTACAATATCACAAGTCCTGGTTCTCAATTCAGACCATTTATAGTCCATTTCAGGCCTTCATATACAGGATGTAGCTTTTTATAGTACGATTTTGTCACTACGTATTTCATCCCCATGTTATTTCAAAAGCAGAGATCAGGAATGGTTTCGAGAATTAATTCTTTTTCTTTCCACCATCTGTATCTCTCCCTCCCTTTTTATTCATTTATCAGACTCCTTGCATCTCCTGCTTCTAGTTTTGTGACCTTTATGATTTCAATCATGAAGTGCATGAATGCAATATTAAAGTCATATCACATTTTCTTTTTTCTTTTTTTGTTTCCCTGTGTGGTGTTTCACATGTTCATATAAAGCAGCCACTAGCATTTCCATTGTGAGCCATTTCATTGTTTTCTCTGTTTACAAAGAAACCCTTTGTATGTTTGTGTGTGTGCTTTTTTGCTAAGTTTAATCATGTCCCATGGTGTGGATGTTATATCCCTGGTTGCAATGCCTCACTGCACGTGTGTGTGCGCGCGCTAAACATCCGTCTGTGTGTGTCTGCCCGAGGTCTCTCCTGTGTTTAACAGCAGGGTGTTCCCTCTGTTCAGAAGCTGCTTAATTCCCTGCAAGTGCTGGGAACCTTCCGGAAAGACTCCCACTGCGCTGTGGTAAATATTTACGCACTCCGGACCCTGATCCCAGACCTGCAAAGATCAGAGCTCAAACATTAAGGGCGAGCACTGTAGACAAACACCATACATTCACTTTAGTCAAGTCAAGTCAAGTCACCTTTATTTATATAGCGCTTTTAACAATACAGATTGTGTCAAAGCAACTGAACAGCATTAATTAGGAAAATAATGTGTCAATAATGCAAAATAACAATAGTAAACACTCATTTTTCAGTTAAAGGCAGTTCATCATTGAATTCAGTGATGTCATCATCCAGCTCAAGGGATGCAGCGATTAACCGGTTTTGTGATTAACCGCGCTTTAAAACGTCACGGTTAATTAATCGTAAAGGTTCCGCTAAACCGAGTGTTTGTTACACGGAACAGAACTGTTGCAGCTTTCGCAAAAAGAAAAAAGTTACACTAGCGGTGCACCAGCTTAAAATAACGTGCTTATCAGAGGCACGGAGGCTACTACATGCATTAGATGAACTGTGACAGAGGGACCAAACAACAAAGCTTTATTTCCACCAGAGAAATGCTTGTCGATAGTGTGGGACCATTTTGGGTACACCAAGAATGACCAGGGTGTCATTTAAATATTGCTGTAAAAAACTGCTGCTAAAGAGCGAATACATAAGGGATAATGCACGGCTAGCTGTACTCTTGGCCATGGTGGAGTTTGGAGTGTGACTGTTTGAGGTTGTGGACAGGTGTCTTTTATACTGATAACGAGTTCAAACAGATGCCATTAAAACAGGTAACGAGTGGAGGACAGAGGAGCCTCTTAAAGAAGAAGTTACAGGTCTGTGAGAGC